TACCTTCTTGCCTTTTCTCTTATGGATCCATCTCGTCCCCCTTTCAACCCATACTCAATTTCTCACCCAATTCATCCAATTATGTGCCTACTGATTAGGGGTGAAAATTGGTACGGCATTGGTATCCCAATATCAAATACTGAAATCCCGAATACCGAATTACACCTTAAAATCAACCCTAATCCCTAAATAATTTTGGTATCCCAATCCCAATCCCTAAATATTGTTGGTTGAGTCGAGCGCGAGACTCCGGCGTCGATTTCACTGATTCTAACTGCTATCGCAGGCTTTGCTGGAAACCTAGCTTTCTAAAACAAGAACTGAAATAGAACAGAGTATAAAGGAAAGGAAAACAAGTTTTGATCGTGAAATGCACAGCCAGTTAGACAAAGATATGTTTATGGGTTCTCGATTCTATACTAGTTCTCTCACTTAAGCCCACGTAGATTAGGAGCACTTCTACTATGCTATATAGTATTGGTGCTTTAATGTACAATTTAAAGTTGTACCATAACATTAAATGTATAAGTTTAGGTTGTACCATCACATAAAGGTACAAGTTCAAGTTGTACCATAAAAAAATTTGTACAAAAAGTATAGGTACAATCTGAAGTTGTACCATAACGTAAATGTACAATTTTAAGTTGTACCATAAAGACAAAATCCTATAGCACAAATACTATATAGCATTGTAAAATTTATCCGTAGATTAGTGTGTGATTTATAGATTAAATTAAGTAGGCCTAGTAAACTTTCAAAGAAACAAATACCAGCCCACTTATACCACTAACCGAAACACACAGCAAGTAGAACGCTGCCGTTCTTACTCCAACTTCAAGTTCCTCCCTTCAACGATTTCAAATCGTAAATTAGTAAATTACTTCCCCTGCAACTAGGTTGGGAAGAATAGCCAAGAACAGAATACGAACTGAAAAACAGAGTATTAGAAATGTAGCCGCCCAAAAAATGGGCAAACACAAAACACACAGGATTTTTACGTGGTTTCCAGTGTTGAGAAAAATACTCAACACTAAAATACTCAACACTGACTACTCCACGGTCAGAGATTCACGATTGTGTGATCTCCAACGATCTACTAAGGATATAACTTGAAGCTCGTTAAGTACAAATTACATTCGATCAACCTCCCCGGCCAATCGAATAGATTCTAACCTTGTTGATCAACTCCCCGCCAATCAACAACCCAGTATTTCCCCAATACTGATCGCAAGCTATCTCCCTGATGGCTTGAACCCTTTTCCTATCAAATTACCCACAGCAGATACCCTTTGCTCTCTCCATAGTATTGATGTCCCGGAAAAGTTACCAACAGTAGCTATTGCAAGACTCCTTTTGTATTGAAGCTTTTGGTTGTTGCATTTGAATCGACTTGCCTTGTTGGTGTGATCATGAATCTCCTTGGAAATGGTAAGCTCCTTACTTCTCAATCTTTTCATTTTCCCGTTGGGTTTTCCTTTTGTGAGAGCACCTGATTGATTGTGAATCCATCCAAAAAGGAAGGTTACTTCTTTTGGTGGAATGACGTTGTACCGACTTCTTCCACTTCCATTTGTCTTGAGCAGCAAGGTAGCGATAGCCTATTCATTGTACCGCCAGGAGAAGTGACACCACCAGTTAACTTCTTTCTCAGCTTGATCATGTGAAGTAGGTAAATTTCTTTTCCAGCATTCCTCAGTCAAAGCATTGGTTCCAAATGCTTATTACCAATTAAGTTAATCACTCCCGTGACCATTTCAATGCTTGAATCGAGATTAGCAAAGAACATGCTGCATCATTCAACCTTGTCCAACAATGTGAGACAATTCCACAGTTTAAGAGTAAGTCACTAAACTGAGTTTGCTCGTTTCAAGCTTTACCAAGTCAAACACCAAATCACATAGCTTCACCTAATTCTAAGTAGTTTCGGCTCCTCTTGCACTTGCTAATTCAGCAAACAATATTTCACAGTTTAAGGATAAATCGCTAAACTGAAGTGTCATTTCCAGGTTTTCTAAGATCGATAGCAATCATTTTCTTATGACAGTTTAGTCTAAATGATTTGACTAGTTTGAGAGCTGCAACACATACTTGCTCACACACAGTGAAAATTATATTGCTGATGAGAAGCTTTTCTCCCAACAACTATTTCGGTATCCCAATCGGTATTATCGAATACGAAATTAATTACCTTTACAATTAATAATTAAATATAGAAATTAGCTTTGATTGTTTAATATAGGACAAAGAGACTAAGCAAAGATTCTTGAGTTTGGCTAGAGCTAGGATATGGATAAGGAGAATGGAGGAGAGGTGACATCTCAAGTTTTTTATATTGGTAATCTTTAATTTGACTAATTGGAGGCTGAGAGAAGACTAATAATAGTGTTTGTTTTTTGGTGTTATGAAAATAACAATAGATTGGTGGTTGAGGGTCATGTAGTAGTGTATGTGAGAGTCTAGTTGAGAGGATAAAATATATAGTAGCTCATATTTCGGTATTGTTCGGTATATACCGATCCCAGTCCCATAATCTCTAATCCCGAATAACAAATGAAATTGAATCCAAATCCCAATCTCAATTCCAAAAAATAATACGTGTATTCGGTAATACCAAATATAGAAAAATTCGGTACGGTATTCGGTATATCCAAAATATCGATACCAAACTTCCAGCCCTACTACTAATGATGCACAAAATTCACATAATTATGCCAATCTATTCCCAAATCCTCACATGAACCATCCCTTCTTTTCAAATGCGGGTAATTTCTCAATGCCCATGTATCCAAACCCTAACTTTGCATATTTCCAACAAAACTATCCATCAATTCAATCCTTACCAAGCCAATTTTCAGCCACTCCAACTATTCCTATTGAACAAGATTCTCCATTTCCAGAGTATTGTAGTCAAGAAAGGTCCACACAAGTTGAACCATGTAGCTGTGGAAGAAAATTTTGTTGGAAATAAAGTGACGACATTCTGTTGTGTAGCTCATGGCTCAACATCAACAAAGATCCAACAGTTGGTACCAATCAAAATCTAAGTTCTTTTTGGAAATGCGATCAGGATTATTACGACGAATGGTGTGACAAAGACTCCCAAGCCAAGAGGGGTAAACAGGAAATTATGACTAATTGGACCAGAATCAAACAAGATGAATCAAAGTTTGTTGGTTGCTATGAACAAGTCCAACATTGAAGAGAGATTGACATAAACGAGGACAAATAAAAGGAACAAAGCATTGGAGTTATTCCAGACTCTCACAGGTAAAAAATGCTTTTCATGCATGCTTGGAATGCTTTAAAGGATGAAGAAAAGTGGTCTAGTCAATCCAAATCCAAAGAAATTAATGGCGATGAAGATACAGGATAAAAAAGGATAATAATACTGCTTTCGGATGATAACTTCATCTTCCTCTAACACAAGCATGCCTCCCATCGGAGATTGTGAGGTCGTGTCTCATTCTCGTCCTCCAGGAAGAAAGCTTCAAAAGATAAAGGTAAAAAACCATCTATATCATCGGATTCGGTGGAGAGTATGCAAGCAGTAGTGCAACAAAAAATTATTATTGAAGCAAGAAAGATATAGGCGATGAAAGAGTTCACGGCTGCAAAGGTACGACTAGAGGAAGAACGAGAGGAAATGGGAAGAACGAGAGAGGAAGAAAGAAGCATACAAGAGAGATAAATTAATGGTGAAATTAATGGAACTGGATCTATCAACGATGACAAAAGCACAAAAAATATTGTATGAGAAGAAAATCCAAGAGTTATTGGGCAATGAGGAATTCTATTTTACGGTTTGAATCATTTATGTAGTTTCATACTGTCGTACGTGTATTTGTTTTGTTTGACAGTTTGAGACTTCAAAGTATGTACCCGTTGATTTGTATGTAATGACTTTTTATTAAGCATTGTTGATTTGCTATGTAATTTGTATTCGGATGTAGTTGAGACATCTTTATATATATATATATATATATATGGTGGCCACTTCGGTGCACCCACTTTTTTGGGTGTACTGAACGCACCCACTTTTTTGTTTAATCTCAACCGTTAAACACATCTAATGGTTACAATAATTTGATTTATTTATATTTAATTATTAACTAATCAACTATATTATATTTATTAAAACAATTTATACTTAATTGTAATTGCAACTAGGCCCCTGACTTTAACCGTTTCTTCCCCGATTCTTCTCTCCTCTTATGCGAAGCCTCTTGTTCCTCTCACCCAACAGAGACCATTTAACCACTTTCCCATACATTTCACTAGGATAGCAAATGAGCATAGATTCTCAAATGAAGACAATGTACCCGAAAAGCTAAAAAAACAGATACCATTTAATTTAATCCCTCACTGCAAAAGAGACAACAGAAAACAAATTACTCCTTCCTTCCTCTGTACTTGTTCTTCCTCCTTCCTCTGCTCCCTGTTCCTGTTCTCTTTCTTCTTCTCGATATCTCCTTCTTATCCTCTAATTCTCCTTCTGATTCTCCAATTCCAATCTCAACTCCGATGCTTGCTTCATCAATTCGCCGGGAAACATGGAATTGGCGGCATGCAAGGAGGAACGGCGACGAAGACTCGGTCGAATCCGACGGGGAAGTTGCCAGAAGGATTAGCCACAGAAAGAGCCCATAAACATAATTTGAGAGCTCATCCGAATGTGTTCGGAATTCGGATCGAAAACAGCCCTTCCTTCTTCAACCTCCTTCTGGTTTTGTTCTTTTACCCGCAGCATAGGGGTCCAGCGATGTTTGATTTAATTTGCTACAATCCGTAAAATTGACGCCTCAGTATCGCTCCAGTCTGAATCAAGCACTAAAAAAATCAGTTTCCCCCTTCGATTTCCAGTTATCGAGCTGAAGCCTTCCCCTGCGTCTCCGTCGCGGCAAAAGGAAAACAAAAAACACAGATCATTTGACTACTCAAGACTGGCTCTGTCCCTGATCTATCGGCCATGCTCCCCACTTCCGAAAATCGCTCTGTAGTCCCTATGCAATCAATCGTCGCCGGCGATAGGACCTGTGTTCGCGAAACCCAGAGGCACAGCAACTCAGCAACTCTTCGACCGGAGCAATTGAAGACCTGGACTGGATCGACTGGATGAGCTGGATATAACCGAGAAGAATCACCGAGCGACGCGAGGAGCTGGACCTGACGGAGCTGTTATCTGAAGGGCGAAGACGATGCAAGCGACGAGAAGAAATACTCCTGGTTCGCATCGACGAGAGCAGAGACGAGAGAAGCGGAGCTCGAAGAAAAGATGAGCCATCGCACCACAACTGAGTGCTGAAGCGCCGATTGAAGAAATTGGAGAAGGAAACACGAATTCGTCAAGGAAACGATCGAATCGAAGGAAATCAAAGGCGAATTCGTCGAGAAGTCGAACGAATCGACCAAGAAAGCAGCGGAATCGAAAAAGAAAGTGGCGAGGCAAGAAGAGGAAAGGATCGACAACACTCGAACAATGGAAGAGAAAGTGACGATTTCATGGAACAAATCAAGAACGAAAACTTATTTTCTCTGATTCCATGTTGAGCATGCCGGAATCGCCTGAGACGGTTTAGTGGCGGAGGACGACGATGCCAGGCACTGCAAACTATTCGTCGCTTGCCACTGGGATAGTATTGACGGTGGAAGCGGGGAAAAGAAACGGCAAAGAGAAAGGGTTAATGTTAGGGTTTAATTGCAATTATCAATAACTATAAATTCGTTTAATAAATATAAAATAGTTTATTAGTTAATAATTAATTAAAAAATTATTAATTATTGTGAACCGCTAGATATATTGAACGGTGAGGATTAAACAAAAAAGTGGGTGCGTTCAGTGCACCCAAAAAAGTGAGTGCACCGAAGACGCCACCATATTTATATATATATATATATATATATAAGTGTACGTGAACTTTTTTTTTATAACACTTTCAAAATTTACAAAATTAATTGATCATAAGTTTAATGAATTTACTTAATTTAATAAGTTTATTTATCTTAAATTATAATTACAAATACAAATATAATTTCTCACAACTCACACAAAAGAGGAATGAAAAAAGAAAACATTTAAAGTGGAATGAGACCCAACCAGTACCCACTATCCATTTCATTTGGGAGGTACTAATTAACGCCCTAACTTTTTAAAATTATCGCCCTAAATTAATCAAATAGACGATTCTACCCCATTTCCTAAAACGGTCACCACCAATGCCCAAACGCATCGTCAATCCATTTGCCTAATCTCTAATTCTGCTAAGCTCGTCGCCGACGGAAGGAAAACTCCCGCTCATGAAATTCACCGGAGGAGTTCTCCACCCACGCCCTAATTTTCCTTCGCCAATCCACCGGCGGAATACTCTGTCCAGCTGACGAAGTTCTCTACTCCACATCCGCTGTTGTGCCACTCTAGGACGAAGAAGAATGCACATCTTTGCCCCTAGCCCAATTGCAGATCGTGGCCAATCGGATGACTTGCCCGGCGACGGGATTGGTAGTAGCAGGGATACGGTGATGGGATTCCTTCTTCCTCCTCAAGCTCGCCAGAAACAAAGGTTGGCCGTGACGAAGACGAAACTGAATCCGACGGATGCGACCTTCTCCTTCCTCCTCGGCTCGGCAGCAGAGTCTCGGCGGCAGAGGTTCGGCCTTCGTTCTTCTCGCGGTGGTTGGGTGCACCGAGGGCGTCCGGTTTGGTTCTCTTGCCTCGGAGCCGCCGACTGCTGGGCAGAGAATGGAATCGGAGGGCGGCGGCAGCTTTTCATCGGAAGCAGAGCAAGGAGGCACGGAACTGCTGGGGGTAAGGGCGGCGGGGAAGCGAAAGAAGGAGGAGGGGCTGGCGGGTTAGGGCCGTGATTGTCAGGGGCAATATCGTCCGTTCAGAACAGCTTAGGGCGATAATTTTAAAAATTTAGGGCGTCGATTAGAAGTTCAGTTTCATTTGCTCTTCCATTAAATGGAAGCTGTCATTATATGAAAGAGGGGCTGCAACCAAGAAATACCGAAATAAGCAGCACCCCATGCCACGTCACAATGAAAGGAAGGAAAGACAAGCGCTGCGATTGCTCTAACAGATCTACTCCAACAAAATTTTTCTATCCCGCTAGAATTTTGTGTGTACACAAAAAGCTTCGTATAACATATATCTATTCTAAAATATAAAAAAAAATCGATAGGGGTAGGAAGGTTAAATCCCAATTAATATATAGTAAAATCTAATATAATTTCCAAAACTTAATCCTTTTCGATAATTTGATGTCCCTCAATCGGAGCACTTCTACTATGCTATAAAGTATTGGTGCTTTAATGTACAACTTAAAGTTGTATCATAATGTTAAATGTATAAGTTTAGGTTGTACCATAAATGGATTTGTACTATTATATTATGGTACAACTTTACAACTTGAAGTTATGTACCATCACATAAAGGTACAAGTTCAAATTGTACCATAAAAGAATTTGTACAAAAAATATAGGTACAATATGAAGTTGTACCATAAAGGCAAAACCTTATAGCACCAATATTATATAGCATTGTAAGATTCCTCCCCTCAATCACGTAATGTAGAGTTGCATGTTCATCTTGACGTGTAATAAAATGAAACCATCACTGAATCTCGAACTTAACAGCAATCGGGCTAGTGACATTGTGATCACTAGAAACCCACCTGAGATACCCTTGATCCGAAGGTCTGCTGTATTTTCCTCTTCTTCTAAACATCACCGAAAATCTCACCTTCTGATTCACCTCAGTGAAACCAATTTCACAAGGTGTCACCTTGACATCAACTCCTTGTAGCCCAAGGATTTCACACTTGTAACCCGACTTAGCAGCTCCCACATTCGTCACTGTCCTCGTGTAACTCTGTGGGATGTCGGAGCTCAGCGCGATGGAAAACGACGGGTAGTTCAGCTCTGCTTCAGCTGTGCTCGAGTAATTTTTCTCGCAACTCACTTTCCGCTGCACAATTGCCTCAACATTGTAACCAAGTCCGCACAGGTACGAAATGTAGTCATCAGGCTGCAGGTCGTACACAAGACCGGGATCATTCGCCTTATTCGGGTTCACCTGACCCGACCCAGTAGCAAACAGATCCGCCTCCACGAAGTGCTGATCGGTTATCCGACTGCCAGCGAGACTAGTCCGGTCAGCAGTGGTCATGATGGCCGATTTGATCACCGCAGGAGACCAGTCAGGGTGCGAGCTTTTGAGCAGCGCTGCAATCCCGGCCAGATGTGGACACGACATTGAGGTTCCAGAGATGACGTTAAACGTCGACTTGGTCTTGTTGTTGCCATCCTTGGATGTCGGCCAAGCAGCTAGAACGAGAACTCCAGGACCTAAGATGTCAGGTTTCAGGATTCCGGGGCTGGCAGAGTTAGGCCCGCGAGACGAAAAGACCGCAACTTGGGGAGCGTAAGGCAAGCCAAGGACAGTTCCTTGGAATGTTAATTTAGCCATTGGCGGCGAAGACAACGGAGAAGAAATCGATGAATTGATGTAGCTTTTGACAAGCTCGCCGTCGGCGAAGCTAATGTATGAAGCTGGCAGGACGTGGAACTCTGGCTCCGGGACATCTTCCTTGGAAGGATTGCTGACCAGGATCATCGCAGCTCCACCAGCATCCTTCACTGCCTGCCCGTGTTCAACTACGTCAAAGTAATCATAGTTGTCGCACAACACCACTTTCCCCTTGACTTCGTGATCGCTCAGATTGCGGCAGATGGCCGACGCGGCACTGCCGTTGATCCCGGGGTAAACAAGCGGCAATAGAGTGCGAGAAGAAGAAAAAACAGAGTTGTTAGGCTGGAAATAGGACTCCCCGTGGATCTCAGTTTTATTATTGGCTAGTGTTACTGTAGCTCTCACGCTTCTATCCACTGTGCTAGCCCCCACGGTTAGTATCCATGGAGCCCCATTCGACAACGACGAAAAGCTCGGACCGTTGTTCCCAGCCGAGCAGGTTACAAAGACGCCCTTCTGAATTGCGCCAAATGCACCTACAGCGATGGAGTCCTGATGGAAAGGTAACGAGCCGTAGCCGAGGGAAAGCGAGAGGACGTCGACTCCATCGGCCACCGCAGCATCCATTCCAGCCAGGACGTCACTCTCTTTGCAATCACCTGTCGCGGAACAGACTTTGTACACCGCCAAGTGAGCTCTAGGCGCCATTCCTACAGCGGTCCCGTTGACCTGACCATAGAAGCTGGCGCCTCGGACCGAGGCGCCAGCAGCTGTGGATGATGTGTGAGTTCCGTGGCCATTGTCGTCGAATGGCTGGCTAGCCGTTGGGACGAAGTTTCGGGCACCGATCAACTTGTTGTTGCAAGACATCGAAGACGAGGCGTTGATGAATTCGCATCTCCCTTTCCACTTGGCTGGTGGAGGTGGCATTCCTTCATCGGAGAACGAAGGGTGATCGGGAGACACCCCGGTGTCTATCACTCCGATGATCGTTCCTTGACCGTAGTTGGAGCGTGGCCAGAGGCCGGAGTTGTGATGGAGGTCTAGGAAGTCGGGAGTGTGCGTTGTGTGGAGCTGGAGTGTCCTCTCTGGCCAGGTCGAGACGAACCCTGGTTTCGACTCCATGGCTCTGGCTTCTGCAGGGGTTACTCTGGCAGCGAAGCCCGTAACGATGTTCCTGTAGGAATGCACTAGAGTTCGTGGCGCGGGCTGGTGTGTTGATGATGAGCTTGTTGAGATGGTGGACTCTGGCAGAAATGACTTGTACCATGCGTCTAGATCTTCTGGGGTTTGTGTACTGAGAGTGCCTCCTTGTGGTTTGCTTACAAAGACAATGTATGTCTCCAAATCGGTGGTCGATTGGCTTGCGTTGAACCCGAACTTGAGCAGGAGGAGAAGGAGGAAGAGGAGGGACATGAATGAATTGGCTGGCGACATTTTTGTGTGCATGGTGTGGATGGTTGATGGAGTACAAATCATTAAGCATGTGTTAAGAATATATAGAGTCCCCTGAAGTTTAGCAGTTTTGGGGGGTAATTGTTGGATTTTCTGCTTCAAATTCGGCCATGAGTTCGTTGCCGCCTGGAATCAATGAGGTGCTGGACGGCTGGAGATGCGCTTGGACAGAAGAAAGGCGAAATTTGACATGGGCACATGGCCAAACTAACTTCTTTGGTGGTGCTAATATAATATGACGATGTTTAGAAAGCTGTTTGTTTTTGTTCAAACGTTGGAACGGTACAAAAACTGTCTTGTTGTCTTACA